AAGCGACGAGCCAACGGCTACTTGAACACCCATTCTTTTTGCGTTGGGACACTACTGGTGGAACACTACGAAAACATCACATAATTAAAAGATGAAATACACCTAGACGGTACTTAATTATTGCCTGCACACAGTTGCATTAAATATTGAGAACAACTTGAACAGTATCAGAGCCAACAGACGAATAGATCAATATATGTATATATATATATATATATATAGAAATATGAATTTTAAAATGCCAATATTACATCAGTATTGTTCTCTATGTAAAACAGTATGTGCAATTGAACCAATTTTCTGCACAATACAGATCAATTATTGAAATGTTGAAAGCATCCCTGCATTGCCGCACCGCAAAAATTTTTAACAAATACTGCTCTATACAATTTTCCAAATTACATCAATTAAAACTTATCATTGAGATAATGAAATAAATTGTTAATAACGTCAAATCGTAGACCTTTCCAATATAAAGGACATACATCCTAAGTTATGTTCAATTGAAAATGACTGAGAACATCAACCTTTTTTAAATATATGTCTCTACCTTATATCTACAGGTTGAACCTAGAATATGTGCTGGAAAGCTTTACAAAAGCAGTGAAAGTACACAAAGTATATTTTTCACATTTTATCCTTACAGAAAATGTATAAGGATATAACATTATATATAACTACAATTTTATTAGTTTTATTTGATTTCTTGGTTCATGTAAGTATGCGGGAGGCATTGAACATTACATGAAAGAGTGCTTTACAAATATGAATATGTAGAAACAGATCTATCTTTATTAAAATTGGAAAGGTCTATCAACAATTAACCCAGAATCATACAGAATTCAGTTCATTTGATATCTTCAAGCAAATGAATGCTGATCAGAGCTCGTACCTATGAAATGAAATGATAAGACTCCTATTACATTTTTTGAAAACTAAAAAATTGTTCCTAATAGAATAAATAAAAAGAAGCGGTATGCAAAGTCATTTATATTTGAAATATGAAAAATAAAATATAACTTAGGTGCTTTTCAAGCTTAGGCGAGGTAAATAATATTATGGTGATCCAACGGGAATGGGTGTAGTGACCGTAACAGTACGAGGTTGGATGATTTTGTACTAAACGATTGGCACTATAATGAGTGGTGGTAAAATAAGGGAGTGCAAAAGAATCAACTTGGAATGGAATTAGAAAAAAAAATATATATATGGAGAATATCTGATAGGAGGGAACAAAGGGGAGGAAATATATATATAGATTAAAAGAAAGAAGGGCAGGAAAAGAGAAAGATACAATGGGAAGGAGCACAATTGAATTTGATTTGGCAGGGTGGAGGTAGCGGTAGCGGCTCTCAGAGGTATTCTTCGTCGTATGGTGGTTCATCTACATCTGCTCCTTATGACGATAATAAGGGATCATCGTCTTCGGCCGTGTATGAGGACAAGAGACAGAGCGAACGTGCTTCGTCATACCATCGCTCAGAGGACCGTCATTCAGCATCACGGAGCTATGCACCTCCACCACCCCCTCGAATTAGTGAAATGGCACCTCCAACTCAGAGATATAATTCGAGCCGAGGGCGAATATCGCATCAAAGCTCAAACTACAGAGGTCGCATTTCAACTCGCGGTAGCGGAAGAGGGGGTGGATTCCATCGTATGAGCTCTCGATCGGACGTCATCATGGCTCGCAAGCGTACTCTACACTCGCTCGACTATCGACGCAAGCTGCTAGGATCGCGATCGCGAGACTACATCCAGCGTGTGCGCATGACAACAACCAAATTGCGCAGGAGGTAATTAATTAATAAATCACTTACCAACCGCAATACCGTCCTAGTAGCCTGCTTGCTTATTTGTCAGTAAACGAACTGACTATATCTGACTACAATGACTTGAAAGTCAAGACGATGATAGATATATAAATGGTAAAAGAAAACAAAAAAAAATGACACAAATGATCGCACGAAACCAATATTGTACTGCCGAGAGGCAAACTTTTCGCAGGGTTCTAAATAATAAAAAAAAAAAAAAATAAATAAAAAAAGGGAATTGATACAATGCGTATACCATCAAAATGTAATTACTTTTGATATGAGAACTACTATAATACTTGTACTTTACGAGATCATTATTTATCATTCTTACACATAGCGGTGATTAAAACCAGTATAAGAACGTTGTTTCTTATATATATATATATATAAATATTTTAAAACGCGAAAATGCGGAGACATAAGAGCACAATGCAGAGCAAAAAGGCTGAATAGTTAAGACCTTTATTGCAATACGAAATGCATTCATTATGGGGTATAAAAGAAAAACAAATACTATCGCGATATTTGCTGTATATCAACTATAAGAAAACAAAATTTTGGTTGATATAATGAAAGACAAAGGAAACAGAACAAGACGAAGGGAAATAATGTAAGTCAAAACAAAATTGCTGTGTCGTTAGTAGCGGTACTACTAGGCTATCCGGAAGTAAAAAGGAGTCAGGATCAGGAACGAGCATGAAGGACAAGGATAGAGAGATGACCAAAGCTATTAACGCTGAATTTTCCGATGACGATGAAGAAGATGATGATAACAAAAGTAATTGGGATGATGATGATAAGGTAACTTCATAGGGCTGATAATATTTGCTCCTATTGTCTATATGCGTATTGTGTGCTAATAATGGCAATACTTACTGTAATATTTACCGACATTAATTCAGCCACATGAACGCGATGATGAAGAAGAAGAGGAAGAGGAAGAGAAAAAGAAAAAAGATGAAAAAAGAAAGAAAGAAAAACAAGATCGGGAAAGACAAAATACCGAAGATGAAGAAGAGAAAGAGGATGAAGTGAAAGACGAAGATGATCGGAAACATGAGGTGAGACAGATTAAAATAAATTTTACTATTTCAATTATTATCCATTACATTTGTTATATATATTTTTTTAGGATGATGAAGACGATGGGGATGATGAAGAAAGAGATGAAAATGATAAAACAGATCATGGAAGAACTGTTGGTTCAGAAGAATTACCTAGTAGAAGAGATGGAAAGAAATTTATTAAATTAACTTGTCCACATTGCGCTCATCGTAGTGTTACTTTCAAGGAATATTCGCTACATTTGTATTCCGGCCGTCATAGTGCAGCAATGAGACGTATCGCATCACGGCATAAAGCAACTCTGACTCGTATGCGTGTTTTACAACGACAAGAACAACGACGTGTCGAGGCGAGAGATGCTGCTCGTGGTACTCTGCCTTCTCGTACCATGTTCTGTCCGATCTGTAAACTTAATTATCGTTCTCTTAAAGCAATACATCAGCTATCAGATTCCCATCGTCAAATGAAGCGATTCCTTACGCCATTTTGCCGTACTTGTCGCATCCAATTTCGATCACCAATGCTTTTTGAAACTCATATGTGTTCTTTGGATCACATCAAGGTATTATTCCTGTTACGATATTAAATTCTTTGAAATTCTAATATATTTTATACCTGTGTATCTTTCAGAGGAAAAATGCATTGAAAGAGAGAATGAACGCCGGCAATGGTGAAGCAGAAGCGGATTCGAGTGGACCTGAAGAGGATGATAAGGAAGTTAATCTCGATAATTTTATGACTCTCGATTCTGTAGGTGATGTTGATGGTATGTACGATTATTAAACGTTACATTTTATTTTCTCTAATAAATATTTCGGTGTTAATTACTAGATAAACATTATTTTTAGCAGAAGATGAAGAGTCTCCCGAGAAAAAAAAAGAAAAACCAGAAAGTGAAGGCACAAACGACACAGAAAAAAAGCCTAAAAGCAAACAAATGATTAAAGTTGGGGCAGAATACATAAAACGTGTTGAAGTACAGTTTTGTGAATTGTGTAAGATATATCTACCACGTAGTGAAAATAGTGAAAGAGCAATAGCACTTCATTGTTCAACCAGAAGTCATCTTAAACGGTATAAATTTAAAATAATAAATTTATAAAATACTTGCTTTTGTTTCATTAATTATTGATCTAATTATAATGTGTTATGCAGATATGTGCGTGATAATGATGATAAAGCATTGCGAAGGCAAGCAGAAAGAATACATCTGCAATCATCGTCATCCACTAATAATACTTCTACTGCAAATACTGTAAATACAGAAAATGCTAAATCTCCAACTAATTCTGAACCACCATCTACAAATAACACTTTGCCAGTAACCACAACTGATGGCACTAATACTACTGAATTGGTTAAAGCAATTGAGCAAAAAGGGACTATTGAATCAGAGAAAAATATGAAAGATAATAAAAATGGACCAGCGGAAGAAGAAGACGATGATGATTATCCTGGCGATAGTGGTGATAAATTGTGGGATGATGTTGATAAAGACTTGGGCGATATTTTAAGAGAAACAGAAGCAGGAGGTAAATCTAGCGATGATGAAGATTCTCGTTATGATCGTTTTCGTAATTCAGATAAGAAACAACAACATTCTGGCAAAGACAAAGAAAGAGATAGCGAAAAGAATGAGATAGATGAGAAGGAAAACGTAAAAAAACAAGAGCTGAAAGTAAAAATTGAAAAAATAGATATGTAAAGTCCAAGAATTATTAGTACGTTTCAATCATATCCTAATGTGATTTTAATTTTTTCTACAAAAATGTGTAAAACTTTGTGAACTGTAGAACATACATACACACATATGTATACACATACACACGCATACATCGAGATTTCATTTTTTGCAAGGTTAAACAGTTATTTTTAATCAAATTAACAAAAATCTATGTACAATACTATATTTCGTTTTTTTTTATAGGTTTGCTGTAAAAATGTTGTAAAAATGTGTGATTCAAATAATGTTTATTTCATATCAAGTTACGACTATATAACTTCATTTAGATTTTTATCTACCAAATATTGGACATGCTTGAAATGTACACATCAATATAAACTTCATAATGTTCAATTCCTTTGTAATTCAAAAAGTCACTATGTACGCACATTTAGTGACATTAATGTTAGTAAAAACTGTAAAAGAAATTATTCGTATAAGCATGTTAAGTATAGTTGTGTAAAAGTAGCGGTTATTTGTGCATTACGAATTGGATGAAAATCTGCAGAAAATAATTAAAAAAGTTAATTTTTAATTGTAAATGAGCATATTAAAAAATCAGTGAACTTGTCATATATAGATAAATATAATAAATATTATATACATCTTAATGTTTTGTTTTCTGTGTTTATCTTATAATTCAATAAAATAAGCAAATTTTCCTGCAATTATTGGCATTCATTAAATAAGTTTCTGTTTTAATAATTTTATCATATTTCATGTATATAACTTACATTTATTACTTTCTTGTGCTTAATTTATATACAGATACATATTTGTATTTTCATCGATCTTCACAAGATGGCATAAGATCTATTCAAGCTACATCATTTTTTAATGTAATAAGTTGTGAAAAGGCTATATTGCATTGATAAGTTATTTTGATCGCTTTATTATAAAATATGGGAAAGAAAAGTACAGTGTAATATTTATAATACAAAGTTATAAATTTTTTATTTTGTATTATTTTCTTGCAGTTATATACCTTACATTTCCTATTTTGTATCTTAACCTTGATTAAAAAATAATTGTCATTAATCCAATGGCAAATATAACTTCAATGTTGTCACTAGGACGACATGATATTTGTTCTGAAGATATTACCAACAACTGCATAAATGTAATTGATAATGATTGTAATAATTCAAAAACATTAGAAAATTTACAATGTTTTGTATGTGATGCAAAAATTCAAGGACGTTATTATGCTTTGGCTACATGTAGAACACAGATATCAAGAACTAGAGTAATAGAAAAACTTGGAGAATTAGTTGGTGAAAGGTAACATCTCATTATAATATTTGTGTACACAATGTGTAGTATGTATTTCAGTCATTACTTTCAAATGTGATTATAATTTTATTCTTTTGCAATAGATATATGGTAGTAATATCAGAAGATGATGTAATTTGTCGAAGTTGTGCTAATCTTATTAATACACTTGATAAACTTGATGTTGAAATGTGTAATGTGCGTGATAATATTTTGAGATTCTTAGAACAAAAATATTCTTTAGAAAAAGGAGAGCTTCTTGGTAGTAGTGAAAAACAAAAGCGTTCTCAACCACCACAGATCACAAAATGTAACAATCAAGTTGTAACTAATTATGCAAGTAGGAAAGATGTTATCTTATCTTCAAATATTACTGAAAAATCCAAACATAAAAAAAATAATATTTGGTTGCAATGTGATAAGTGTCAATATACCACACTTCACAATTCATTTATGGTGCATCATATTAGGGATCATATTAAACAAAAAATATTTTGTGATAAATGTGGTGTGCAATTTTATGAAAGTCAACAAGAATCACATAATTGTAATATGAAAGAACATATAAATGATCGGACTAGAATTCAAGACAAACAAGCAGGTTTCTTAAATTATTTATTTTTAATATGGTAAAAGTGAACTTCTACTATCAGTAAATTATATTCTAAGTGCCTTTCAGAATCATCTTTAAAAAATATTGATGAAACTATATTGGATATTCCGATTTTGGAAAAAAGTGTACAGCAAAATGTACCAGTTATGACTATTGAAACATATTCTGAACCACAAATTTCAAATCATAATGAAAATATTCCTATAATAAGATTATCAAATTCTGAAAATTTATCAATACAAAATATTCTAACTTCTGGTAAGAATTTCAGATTTATACCTAATTGAAAAATATTTTATTATAAAACGTTTATGAATTATAGAGAATAATTCTGCAAATGGTCAACCAATATATGTACGTATTTTACAACCTGTTGAAACTAATGAAACATCAACACATCCTACAGTGATGGTATCACATTCTGATACAGATGTGCTTACCATGAAGCTTAAAGATAATTCAGACAAACAAATTTTAACATTGACAGAGGATGGTAATCTGGAAATGACAGAAATAGCTTGCTGGAATGACATACAATCATCAGAATCACAATCCAATATAATGTTTCAATAAGTCAATTTATTAAATTAAATACAAATTTTATTTATTTATTTTTATCAATATCATAAATAACAGTTATTTACATTTGTAATAACATACATTTTTTTTTTTTATTTTAATAACCAACACGTATTTTTCATATGTTGACTTCTTTCGTTTCTTTGCCACTACCGCTTGTTTGTAAATTGAAAACTACTTTATTTGTTTAGTAGTTTCCAATCATCAGTTTTCTGATTTCATTTAAGATGTGATTTCATTAAGATGTGATAGCTTCTTTGTTATTTAGACACCGAATGGGAACTACATATAAATATAAAGAATTATTACAAAAATAAAAATGAAATTTCTCTTTATAATATAAGATACAAATATGATACATTGAATGTTTTAATATTAAAAATATGTCAAATTTACTTTAAGACCAAATGTTCTATCCTAAAATACCGTCAATAATATTTTGTATATTATCATTGATATCGTATACAATATCTAGTATGTTTTTAACATTATCATTTGTAATATTTATTGCATTTTCATGATATCCTGGATACCATAGGAAATTCCAGAAGCAACATTTTTAATGTTATCAATTGTATGTTCAATAATATTACTAGTATTACTCACAATATTACCGACAACATTGTTAATATTATTCAACACATTGCCTAACAAAGTATTAGAGTTTTTTGCCATATCATAAATTATATCACCCGTATCTTTCATGACGTTTAGACCATCTAAATCTATGTTTTCCAATTGGTGCATGATATTTGTAATATGCTCGAGGACATTGTGAACTTGCTTTTCAATGTCCTTAATTATATTATAAATAAATACATTGATATTGCTCGATAGATGGTGAGCCTCTTTTCTTAACGCAGACAATATTTTGTTCAGAGCATCAGCAATTTTTTTTTTAATCTCTTCGGTTGTATGTTTCGCTTCTGTTACAATTTGGGGAGTTTTATTCATGAGTTCGTGTACTTTTTCTTCCGTAAAATTCTTCATGTGGTTCACAATCTGGTGAAGCTTTTCATGAACGTTTGTCAAGGTGTTATTTATTCTCCAAATTATCAAGTGCAGCGGTAACGTTCTTAATGATATTTTCTATTCTGTGTTTAATGATTTTTTTCGCCTCTGAAGATTTCAGTCTGTTAACTCTATTTTTAAGATGTTGAAATTGTTCTTGCGTTTTGCGCTTAATATCAGCTACCATTTTGGTTACTCGTTGTATTGCTCGATGTACATCATGTTCGATCAATTGTGTCACGTTTTTTAAGAAACTAGTGTCGGATTTAATAATTTAATGTTTAATGTTGTTCTTAATATGATCGATGATGTTTGACACGATATCCTCTATATTTTTAAAAGTATTTGAAACGGTTTGTTTTATCTGATTTCACTGCTTCAGCAGTACGATTGACAATCTGAGACAGAGTTCCTTTTAGATCATTTACATTAGTCACTATTTCCTTGATTTCTTCCGCTTTTTCTTTAACTTCCTCAAAATTCTTTAATTCATTCTTAATATTAGATATTGTATTGTTTGTAGCTTCTCTTGCTACTTCTGCAATTGTATGAACATCCTCACTGATGTTCTTTATGTTTTCTTTTAATGCTTCCAGAACATCATTAATAACTCTTTGAGTTTCGTTCCTCAACTTGTTCAACTCATCTTTTATATCGTGTACGGTGTTTTGTACATTCTCAATCACATTATGTATGAAGTTTCTTAGCTTCTTCATTAATTCTATGCAGTTCGTTTAACGTAGTATTTTTTATATTCTCAAGAATATCGTGAGCTTTCTGTTTAGCCTTATCTATCCTATTTTCTAAAGATTGGCTCGTGTTCTTTAATCTTTCTAAATCCTCAACGAGCTTTTCAAATTTCCGTGTGACGTTAGAAGCTTTATCATCAAGCTTTTCAAGATTTTCCTTTAGTTTTTCGGAAGCTTTCGAAAGGCTGCTTCTATCTGTTTTTGTACGATATTTCTGATGTTCTCGAAGGCATTATCAGACTTGTTCTGAAGATCATGTAGAATCCTTTCCAAAATACTCGTGACGTTATGGAAAGCGTCTGTGGAATTATCCTCGATCTGATCTCTCACATGTTCCTAAAGATACGTGGAATTTGTTACGCTTTGCAAGCGATTCTCGATCATACGCTCCACAGATTTTACAAGTTTCTGTAAATCCCTGACAATTTTATCTGTGTTTCTAATGTAGGACGAGTCTTGATTTTTGTCATTGCCACTATTGTTATTATTATCTTCTTGCGAGCCTTCTTGAGAATTGTAGTATATTAAGCTGTAATAATTTTTCAAATTGTCATTACTTACTTTTTTTTTCCTATCAGAAATTTTTAGAAAACTATAATTACATTGAGATATTTCAAAAATTTTTTGTTGTATTTCTTGATATCAAAGTAATCATAGAAATAACATTGTTAGATGTTACAAATCTATTCCTATTCCTTATATGTAAAAATCATTAATTAATACGTACATTAAAAGCATTTTCTATTTGGTCTATTGGTTCAAATGGAAAAGCCTGTTAAAAAAACCAAAGAAAAAGAAATGGTCAATTAATAGAAGAGAAAGAATTTTATTGCAAAATGAAGAGACGTAGAATATCCTGTAAGTAATTAAAAATCATACATTCGTATAGTTAATGAAATGATCAGACACAATGATTTATTTTCAAAACAAAATGTTATAAATTAAAGTGTCATACGTACGAGAACAGCAGAGATGCTAAGAATAGCGAAAACTGATAAAAAAACTTAAACATTATTTCCAATAATGATGTAGTTAAATAAGCTTTGAACGAATTGTCGAAAATGTATGCTACGATTTGAATTCGATCGCGATTTATATGTCTATCTTTCCCTGTTATAATCGACATCTGTATAAATAAAAAATGAACATATATAGAACATATTAACAAAATTTGAATGACAGCCATAATATTTACTTATTGTTACAATTTATAAATTAAATATCATATTATCTAATCCAAATAACTCGTTAAGTTTCTTTTATTTGAAAATCAAGCAATCAAAATGAACATTAAACAAAAACAAATAATCGTTAAAAGAACAAATTAGATATTTTGAATTTTAATATGTTTTGATTAAAATTATTAGTGATTAAATTTTCACTTTTTCTATTCTAATGCTTAATTAATTTCATATTTGCCGCGTTAAGGTTCCAATTTTCTTACTACTGTTCGATATGTTTAATTTAGAATCATAAAATCGGTTAACTTCAGTCAATATATATTTCAATAACTATTTCTGCAAGATCTTATGAAATCAAAATTTTATGCAAATTTTAAAACGATGTTATAGCTTTTTTTATCAAACTGAAGTAAAATAATCTTAAAGTAATAAATGTTGTTGTATATTAATATATTGGCTAGTAATATTTATCCAGCTCAGTGGTAACACTGTTATTTCAAATCTTAAATGGCTGCAGTAGTAAACGTTAAACGTTAAAACTGTCATAGCGTTGTTCGGTCAAGCTAATATGCAATAATGACATAAAAATCACATAATAATGATGGAAGAATTCAATGTTGATATTGTGCATGTTCTTCAGAATAGAGATTTTAGTGTATTGCAAAAGTTAATACCGCATTTATTTGACTTTCGAGCAAAAATTGCAGCTAAAGTCGAAGATGCAAATGCATATGAATCTAGTATGTACATAATATATTCTTTAATTTATAAATTGTAAACTATATTGTATTTTAGATCGTAAATGTTTTGATCATGCTTTGTATCCAATTCTAATGAATTTTTAAAAACTTTTCCATCTCAAACTTAAAATAACCGAATATGGTAAAAGAATGTTCTGAGCATGAATGAATTTTAGATGAAACACTCAAAGGGTTAAATAAATTCTTTAAATAATTAGGTATCGAATATACATTTTCATGTTATTTCTACTTAAACACATGTTTTTAATAATATTTTTATATTTTCTTCTAGAATGTATAAAGGAAAGAACACAAAGTGAGAGCAAAATATCAGAATTACAACAAGAAATTGAAAATTTAAAATCTGAAATAGATGCAACAAAATTGCAACAAAAGATTGTAGATAAAAAGGTTGCCAATGCAATTAAACAAGAAGAGGAATTAGAGGAGGAAGTAAATGGTGCAAAATTGAAAAGAGATAATTTAACAATTGAAATTGTTGATTTACGTGAAAGTATTTATTACAAACATTTATAAACACATTACAAATACGTTAGTGTCATGATATTATAAAATATTATTTTCAGAATCAGAACAAAGGAAAGCACATAAAAAATCAATTTGGGATAGCATTAAACGTGCTTGTAAAATTTATAAACAATACCTAGACTTTCATATACATTTAATCCATGAAAAAGAAGAGGAACAACTTAAAGTTTCTTTTTTTGTGAATGACTCTAACACAGAAAACGAATACTTTGTGAGGTTACTTAATTGTAATAATCAATGGAAAGGTATGCAACATCCATTTTTTTACAATTATTTACAATTGTACGATACTAATCTATGAATATATTTTCTAGTGGAACAGATTCAACCTTCGCTCAAAAAAGAACATCTGACTGATTTCGAAAGAATTATTGACTTTTCTAAACAATCAATGGTTTCAGATATGACTGCATTTCTCTGTAAACTCAGATATATTTTTACTAAATATTACTTAAATGTAAAATAAAATTGAAAGCTTATGTAGGTAAGGATATTCTAATAGTATTGACACTATTTATTATAAGAGTAAAGCCTTTATTAATAAAAATTAATATTTGAATTGTCTTATTACATATTAAAAATTTGCAACACTATACATCGCAAAACTTGACATTGGTATGATTTTATTAAAATATATTCGTTATTAGTGTAAGTATTTGTTACATATATCGTGACATGTATCTTAATGTACTATTTGCCTACAGCACAGATTGAAAACAGTAAACTGCTAATCACAGTGTAGATAAATTACTAAAGTTACAAAGAAGTTTCCATTTGATTTCTACTTATATATGGCACCTATAGTGAAATTATCTATCATGAGCGGTTAAGTTTGTTTGGAATTGTTAATTTTGCTAAATTGTAAATACAGACTTACTTATCTATTTATTAAACAGTTGTTATAAATATTATCTAATACTCGATCATTTCAATTTCAACTTTTCATCGTCTTTAATAGTCTCTTATAAAAAAATATTTAATTAATAAATTACTTCGATTTAAAGTTCTAGTTATTGAAGTTAACAGTCGATAGTAATAACTATTTTCTCATTTCCATGAATTAAAAAAAAAAAAAGTTACATTTAATATAAAATGAATCTTTTTAAAACAAAAGAGACGAACATATAACATTACGAGTAAACTTTTAACAATATTATTGTTTCAGCATTTGCACTGAAGAAGATTCTGGAAGTTTCGATTTTTGATGATTTTAGTTTTATTTAAATATACAATTACGTGTTAGATTGTATCAAGAAAAATTTTTCTGTTGTATGTCGAACAGTGAAAATTCGTTGAATTCAATTGTTTCATCGTTCATGCGGAAAATCGAATTTCTCACTGTTTATCGTATTTTACATTCAATTTTGATATTAACATAACTACTTACGAAATATTTACGCGTCTTACTCATACATGGAAAGGGCCAATTGATTATGTATGCGTAGAAGCACGTTGATAACAATTCATCCCTATTGGCAAGAGTTAACGAGAGAGTCAATTGATCGCCCACTGCCAATCAGCTCATATCGCGTACACAACGTAAGTTAACAGATTTCACTTACACTATTGACCCGCCCGATCGTTCATTTACTCGATCATTCAGGAATTTAATTAAAGATCGAAACGTTGACGATGGGAATCGATGCATTACTATGATGTACACTAGCCGTATTCACGTTGTCTGTGTTGATCAGGTTCGATACGATTAATATCTAATGAACAATCTCTGTTTATTATATTTAATTTAAAAGTTCATTTTTTTTTTTTTTCGCTTAAGAGAAAATAAATATTCGACTATTATTATACTAATGCGAGAATTCTATATGTTATCTTACATAATATATAATGGCATACTAGATATTATTCGTATGAACCGATATTATTAATGAATAATCTAAGGCAATCGGAGCACGAAAATCTTGATACACAATACGTCACATAAGCGTTACGGATAATACTTTGAAGTAATGGATGATTAACGATAATTTCGAGCTCGATTAAAAGCTAATTTCATTAATCGATCCCGAAAGCTTTGTATGTACGTATACGTATATATATATATATA